CACTAACCACAACCCTCTGAGCTCTATCTGTAAGCCAGTTCTATCTGTAAGCCATTTCTCCTGCTCAGACATTGCAACCCTCACTCACAACTCAAGTTCACTGCTGTAACGTTTCAAGGCTTTGCACAGTGGCTACGCAGACTCAACAGGCAGATATTAGGTCATCCTTCACAGGTAAAAATATTCAAGTAGAACATGCACATAGAATTTAAGGTGCTTACAGTGGCTACGAGACTTACACAAACAGTTCTTGGGTAGTTGATGCAGTTAGTTATTGGAAACTTGGTCCACATATAACATACAAAGGTGAGACATTTGCTCTATTCTTTAAATTATGAAAATCTAGCATTTTTTTTAAGAATATTAAGGAAAGTAAAGAAAATAAAATCTACTCTGAAATATAGGGCTTGATCACTAAATCTGGCCTACCTGTACCCATAACTGGGCTTGAGAGGAGGCAGAGATGTTTTCCATCTTCCATCATCACAGATAATTTGAGTTTCTTGAAGAATGTAATGAGGCTATTTTTTTCCTGGTTTGCACTGAATCACAAAGAGTTGTCCTAACAGCTTGAGCTTGTTGCATTATCACAGATCACAGAATGGTCAGGGTTGGAAGGGACCTCTGGAGATCATCTAGTCCAACCCCCTCGCCAGAGCAGGGTCACCTACAACAGGTTGCACAGGACGGCGTCCAGGTGGGTTTTGAATGTCTCCAGAGTGGGAGACTCCACCACCTCTCTGGGCAGCCTGTTCCAGTGCTCCACTGCTCCACTACCCTCAAAGTAAAGAAGTTCCTCCTCAATTATGCTGCTACTGTAGCCATAACTTTTCCCAATTACTTCCACCTCTGATCTACCCTTCAGCACTCAAATTTAAATTTTAAACACAGCTGAACAGTTGAAATCAAGAAATGCAGCTCTACAAAGGCACAGAAAGCCTGCTATGCACTTTGTTGCATGCCTTTGCAAATACACCAGACAGATTCTTTTCCTGAACGTTTCTCTCCCGTGCGTCCCCGTCTCCACTTCGACACCGCAGTTCTCTTTTCAGGGTGGGATGCCTATACAAAAATAAGTCCTTAAGGACAGAGAGTGAAAAGTACTATCCCAAAGCAACGCAGTTCCTCTAGGACACTGAGCAGCAAGTCCTAGTACAGTCATCCCTATAAGGATCCTCGGTACTTTCTCAGGACAACTTAACCAATTCCTTGCATCAGCATATTTCACCCCACCCCCTGTGGAGCCTGGCAGAGGACCCAGGAGGGATGTAGGACAAACAGCAACCTGTTTGGGCACCGCTACTTGCCAACGAAGGCACCAAGGAACACGCTCTTCTCACCTTCCGCACCTTCCTAGTCACCTGTGCCCCTGCTGAGCAACCAACTCAGACAGGCCTCATGTCACATATCCTGCCTTTGTGACCGAATTATCTCCCAGATCAAGGCCCTCAACAATTTCCCTTTTTGTAAACTTCCCTGGGAACTAGGGAACTAGCTGTGATTATAAACATCATATTAAGTATTCCTTCAGTCTGGTCTACTCCAGATACGAGTATACATATGTCAGGTCTTTTTTTTTTTTTTTTTTTTTGCTGGTGTCGATCTACCTACGGTTATGCTGGCAAGGAACACAGCCCATCAATCTTATATTGTATACAAGTAGGGCACTTGAAATGAGCACAAAACCTGCCAGTGAAATGGGAAGCTCACTCTTTTTTGCATATTTTCAAGGTTAGTCTCCCACATCATCTACATAGACTTTGTACAGTTCCCTTCCCGTTTGGTAGTGTGCACAGAAGAAGAAAATGGGACCTTATTCTAAACTTAAATATTGAATCACAGATGCTTTCCTAATAAATCTATAGGGTTTGTGCCAAGAAATCATAATCTTTGAGTTTGGTACATTGTTGCCCCAATAAAAATATAAGGCTCCCTTCCAATACACAGCTCTTTGAGAGGTGCCAAGCAGCACATCCTATTTATCTTCTTGTAGAGCACCACTGTAGGAAGTCCCACAGAAATCAGTTATAAAAATGCAATTTTTTTCCACACAGTTAACATAAACAAGTCAGTGCAGATTACAGATTCACTAATTGAGTTTGTAAGCTGTTCTGAACATGCTTTCAGAGAGACACTGATGTATTTTATCCCTTCAGTACCTGGGGTGACTCTATCAAAAATTAAAAAGACCCTACCTACTCCAAGTTTGTCACTCTATATAAATGCAAACAGTTGTTAATTAAGTCACCTTTGCAATTTCATTACCCTTCTAATCATGCTTGAGTGCTATTCAAAATTTTGAGTGGAGCAGATTCACTATTGAAAATAGAGATGCACATATATAAGCAAATTAATTACTTGAAATCAGTATGTTCCAATTCTTAGGGCTGTGCCATTAAATTTTTAGAAATACTTAGGTACTGAAAATCAGTGACAATATTTATGAACTTCCAAAGTTTAGCAATTCTGTACCAAAATTGTGGTTGTTTTCTTCCCATCATTTCTCTGTTAAAATGTTTCGGTTATCCAGTCAGAGAGCAGAAGCAATGTGATCATCGTATGCCAGGAATTATGAATAACAAAGAGCAGTTGTAGCATACAGTTTGTGTTCTCCTTCTCTTCACTCAAATTATGCGGTGAATACTTATGCATGATAAATACATTCACAGATCTCAAGGATGATTCACTTTTGACATGTAAACAAAGAAACAAGACTAAATTAATTTTGTTCCCAATTCACTTAATAAAATTAAACCCCACCAAAGTACTTCAGTTTGATTTATAAAGCTTTTAGGGTATAATTTTTTGTTAGACAGTTACCCAAGACACCACCTCTTTCCTCCTGCAGTGCCACAGAGGAGATGGATACTGCGTGGCTTGCAGGAAAAGACCAACACTACAGCTCATCATTTTTAGTGAAGGTATTTTCATGACAGGACCAGTAAAGGAGCATGCATTTCCCCAGTTAGTCTAGTAAGAGTTTAAAGCCTGTTTACTTAACCTAATTCTCATATCGGGATAGAAAACAAGAGTTGATACTAGTTTGTTCTGAAGTCTTTTTTCCTTTTTTTAAGGTATGGATGTCTATAAAAATTACATATGTGAATCCTATCCTTGGGAAATATGACTCAATGCCCTTAATAAACTAATACACCATTAAATGAATGCACAAATATTGCAGACTGTGAAAATAACACAAGCATGCATTTGGGCATTCTTATCCTCTGCTCACAATGACATAATAAGCTCAGGTATCAGTTGCAATAAAAGTTGACATCAGATGAAACTAGTGTATAGGCTATTGAATCTGCACAAACTGCTCTCAGAGAAGAGACACTAGTTGTCTTTCATGCTGTTCACAATAAACAAATTTCTTATCTGACCTGGAATCACGGGATTCGCGCAGTAGTAAATATTATACTTGGCATGTATTTGTAGAATGATGACTTGAAGTATTGTATTTATAGTTGGCAGCATTCCTTATACTTGTATTATTCTACAAAGTTTGCGACCTATACCTTTGAACAGCTTACTGAAGTAAAAGAAAATAGAAAGAGAAAGGTCAATGAAAATATTACTTTTCTAATGCTCTCTAAAAGAGAAGACCAAGTATCAAAATGGCCAAGGTGACAGATGAAAATTAATTTAGACAGTTTGTGTTTGTTCAGCCTGAAATATCACTCCAAGCCTTACAAAAGCACACCCAGATGACTGGTGTCTTCTTTCATATATCTGTCTTAAGGTCAATACTGCTGGGAACAAATTATAAGAAATTTTGCCAAGAGCTTATCCCACAACAAACCAGCTGAAATAACCTATAAATAAGATATCTGTGAAGGGATTCATAGATAAAGATATATACCTGGGGAAAAAAAAAAAGTAATGGAAAAATAGCTATTTCTTATGACTAAAATTGAAGATTTTGAACCTGTAGTTCCCCCACATTTTGGTGACCTTAGACGAAAAGTGGCTGACACGACTGCAGGTTGTTTATAAGGTGACAAACACTCTGTTCAGGGTGACGGGCCACCTCAGGGCCCTGTGCGCAGCCCCCCACCAGCCCCATCCTGCTGGGGCCATGGGTAGAGGTGCCCCGGATGCCCTGCAGCCCAGCCAAGGCGACGGGACAGGCCCTGGCTGGGAGCCCCTGCCCTGATGCCCTGGGAGAGCCCCCAGTGCTTCAGCAGCTGGAAACAGCTGGGCAGGCGGATCAGGATCAACTGCTGAGTGTGCCCAGCACTATCACAGCCCTGCACATGGAAGTTTGGCCATCCAAATCCAGGCAAGTACATACATTTTAAGCACCTTGGGAAAGTGCAGTAAATGTTTCATTAGTTCTCCATTAAAAAAGAAAGTGTTATATTTGTGCCCCTAACCACAAAAGCTATCTATAGCTATTTTAAGGCAGTGGCTGAACTGGTTAGGTCAAGCAACAACATGCAATTAAAAATCTTAGAAATAATCATTTCTCTCTACTCAGCCAGTTTATGCAGGTGTGAAAGCTGCCCTCTCAATACTTCTCTCATTGTACCTAGTAGGTTTCTGGCCTTTTGAATTTAGTATATTTACAAGTTTTCATACCATTAAACCATTAAGTATGCTTAGTCTGCAGCAATAAACTATAAGTTCATTCATATGCTGAAGTACAGCATGTCATTTAGCAAAGTTGTGGCAATACCTTCTAAGTCTTCATCCATTTAATAACAATTAACTAATACAAACCATTATAGAAAGAGTAAATTCTCTGCTTGTATCAATGAGAAAATCTCTACTGAAGTCAATGGATCTGGTCCTTATCACACAGAAAAAGGGATTTCTAAATTATGTTTTCATGCATTATTGAAAGATCTCTGAAATAAATTTGAGGGTGAGGGTTGTAGTACTAATTCAGCTGGAAAAAAAACACAAACCGCATGCCATGTAACTAAACACAAATAATTCACGCTTTTAGAAAGTGGCGTTGACTTTTAGTTGGTTGGTTGGTTTGGTTTTTTACTTACTGCTTTATACGTTCTCTTTTGTCCAGCATGTTTTCTGATTTGTTCTCCATTAGGCCCAGTTTCAACATGCATGGAATAGATAATGTCAAAGAAATCTTCTACCACGGCTACCCGCCGTAAAGACAGCTTCTCGTCTACACCTACTCCATCCTGAAAAGAAAAAAAGAGAAAAGAAAAAGTAAGGAGGACGGGATGAGTAGACAAATTATAATCATGGGACGCATTCACCTTTTTTAGCAGAGTTAAAGACCCTTCCACTGAGATCTGAAGGTCACCCACCCTGCGAATGGCAGAAACAGTATTGTAGGAAAGCTGTATGATCAGATGGATCATATGGACCCTTGCAAGCAGTCTATTTTGCCAAGCCAGGCCATTTGGTTTCTTGATAGAAAGTGATCTTTCACCCCAGTATTTTAAAAACAGAACAAAAAGTATCTGTGCTTCTTTCTCCAAATGTACAAACAAGATTCAAAGGCAGAGGCAGTCCCAAACACATGGCACAGAAATGCATTATGCGGCTGTTAACAAGAGTGCAACAGCTCTTTTATCTTCGATTCCCCTCCCAGTAAATCTGTACCTAGCACTTCATAAAGGTATTTAATAAAAGGTTTTAATTCACAGGTGACAGAGCTGACTGTAATTATGAATACAAAGGAAGTTGTTACAAACAATTTACCCCTGCAAAACCTGCTTGAAAATATACTCCACAAAGACATATCACGATATGAGGAAAAGAAAGGGATATTTTTAAAATTTGTCATTTTTGCACACAGATGCCTGGTTGGAACAAGTGACAGAGAAGTGAGGACATCTACCATCTGATTTTCAAAAGTGATAGTGCCGTGGTAGCTAAAGACTTCTAAAGAGAAACAGTCCCCAATGTCTCTGAAATTAATCAGTGTAGTTCAATTCATGACTTTTAAATAGCACCATCCATATGAGTTTTTGTTTATACGCTGTCTATGGATTCGGTTGTAATGAAAGGGCAGGAACTGGGACTCTTGTTTTTCCAGCACAGGAACCCATCATAACGTAAGTATATGAAGAATAAAATAAGAATGGCCAATTCACTTATAGTCCAACCCAGCATTTGATTTAGACCTCTGGAGTCCGCAGTGTCACCTAACCTTCAACATGTATTTTAAGCAGTAAGTGCGTTCCAAATTCAACACATTTGATGTTACCACTACTGCTGCTGTAATTCATGCCACAACAAAACTGATTTACATTGACCCTTTTGTGACAAAACATGTGCAATTATTGCTGCAGTGACCAAATGAAGACCAAAGATGAGAAATGAAAAGGTAATAGTTACACGACTCCCAGTTGCCATCCCCCTGCTCATAAATTCTTGCTAACCCATTCCAGTAAGTTTGCTGGATGTGGACAAACATGATTCATTTTTCTCACTGTCCCTATTTTTATTCCAGACCACTTACTTTTCTTTTTCATAGAGTTCACAGAAAGAACCCAAATTATCCCAACGGCTCCAAAGAACCCCCTAGGGTGACACAGAGTTGCTCTGACACATCCCCAGCAGTGACAGAGAAAATGTCAGTGCCTCTACAGCATAACTTCCTAAATGTGCATGACTCCAAATTACATTGGGTTAGGAGTTCTTGATATGCTACCAGCCATACAAGTTTTGTCCTGTCCTGCCCTTGCCTCTCCCCAACCTTCTTCAAAGACGTCCCTGCCCACATCTGCGTTGTTCCTTCCATCTGCACAGCAGGCAGCTGGACCAGAGCAGAACTCCTCACATGCATGATGAGAGGATTGCCATAGTCCTGACAGAAGTGGCTGTGTTGAGGATTCAGGAAGGTGAGGAATTTGCAGTGCAGTCTCCACTGCAGTTAAAGCCTCAGAGAGATCAGCTGGGAACAGGTGCTCTGAGAAGGCAGAGAGGCTCCCAACCCATGAACAGTCCCTACTATTTCACTAACTACCAGCTCAAAAATTTTGTGGCATCATGACAGGTTCTGGTATCAGCGTCATTAAGAATTTGCTTGGTATTGCCCACCACTATTGCCCACTATTTAAAAGAAAATCTTTAGAGATGGGGACAACATACAATCCAGATCTTTGCAGCTCTAATCTTTAGGGAAATTCACATGTGAGCTCTGTAGGGGGGCTCATCTTCAATCATTATTTTCTCACCACCCAAACGGCACGGTGGGATCCCTAATGATTTCAAACACTCTTATTATGACGACAGTGTTATCTCACGCCGCTCTCCAAACACTCAGAAGTTTATAGTGTTGATTAACTGATAAAGATTTAATCTGTTTATTATTAATGAGTTTTGTTTTAGGAAATTTCCTACGGGGGAGCTCTCTTTTTTAATTAAAGAGAAACACATTACAACCATATTAATTTAAAACCTGAGATGCCACCTCAGCAGACCTGACACATGCAAACATTAGGAATACATTCAAAGAAGAAACTCAACAAGGAAACTCATTCTGCTGCTTTGCGTGGCCATAGTGTGCAGTGCTCTTTTTGATGGTCCTCCTACCCCACCCCCTGGACACCAATACCCAAAAGTAGGTAGGCACGATGTGGGTGTGCTCTTGAAGTTGCATTTCTCCATCCATAAAACAGTCAGCATTGCTACTACTTGTAAAAATACAAGGAAGTAACATCTGCACAAACTCTCTGTCATGCCTCCTAACCTAAGTACCAGAAAATGAATTCAAACTTTCAAAATCCTGTCAGTCAAAAAGGGTAGGAAAAAAATGTTTTACATTGAGTCAAAACTGCTTCAGGGGAAGACAGTACTATTATTTCACTACTATATTTGTAACTTTGTCATAACTTTATGCGGTGGGGCCTGGACAACGGCTAGGTCAGGCTTCATTCTGCTTGGTGCTGTATAAAGCAATAAGGTAGACCATGTTTCAGAAACCCTGTGGTGCTGCAGAAGGTGCTGAGTTGCTGTAAGCAAGCTGTTTGGTCCATCTGGCAACACACAATGCTGTGCAGAGATGCAAGTCTTAACGGCACAACCAATACGCCAGATGAGTAACTTGAATAAGCTAACTGCTTACTGAGACTTTCGATAACCCAATACTGACATCCAATAAGTACAAAGCAGGGAAACTCATACAACCCCAAATCTCCACTTAAACCATCAAGACTCTGAAGTGGATGCAGTTGTATCAGGCTTTCCTGCCATACGCCATTACACTACACTTTTATCCTGAAATTGCTATTCGATAAAGGCATTAACAAACCAGCTCTACTTTATAAGCTGGCTCTGGGTAAAAAATTTCACAGTGCCTAAAGGGACATTTTTTTTAACCTCAACTAAGGCTAAAAAGAGACGAATGAGGGAATACATGATAGGCTATTCATATGTCTGAAAGGCTATGAAATGTCCACAAGGGAGAGAACAAGTAATAGGCTTAAACCACAGCACAGGAGATTTACATTAGACATTAGGAAAAACCTACTATTGATGTGGATAGTCAAGTACAGTAATAGTTTTCCTGGGGAGGCTGTGACATCTCTGTCACAGGAGGATTTTGGGACCAGGTTAGACAAATAGCTGCCAGGGACAGTCTGAGTAAATCCTGTCTTGGATAGACTAGACATTATTTGAGTTCCTTCTTGATAGCTCTACGACTGAGAAGCTTAAACACCATTTTCAAAGTGACTTGGGTACTAACAACTCTGGAATACCAAGGAAGATATTTATAAATCACTGAGGTATTTTTAGGACTTTCATTCGTCATGGCAAGAGTCCAAGCCCCACTTTCAAAAATGACAGGAATAGAAGCCTCACTGAATGTTTCACTTCAAAAATCGGAGTTGGACTCTTAAATATTTTAGGCTGAGCTTCATCCATCACTGAGGGATGCCCCTATGCTAAACCAGTTGTCTCAGATTCCTCTTTGGCCAGCAGTGTGACAGGCACTGCCAAAATACAATTCATTCTTATAGATGCTGGAATGGTTTCAATCTCTACCAGTGAGAAGTTACTTAATTTTACTCTCTGCATTGCAGTTTCCTGTTTACTCTTGTTTTTATGTTTATTCAGTGCTCTTCCTATGTTCTTCGGATACAAATAAATAGATGCGTCTTTTCATTTGCAGCCCTACAAATTTCATTGGCACTCTGAAATTAAAGTTGGTTGTTTGTTTTTAGATATTTACACAAAGAATACATTTCTGGACAGAAATGAATTTTACAGAGAGTTGTGCACCTCTCGGAAAGTGCTAAGGATCCCTTTGAACAAGGGTGCTTGAGAAGAGAGTCTCTTTTATTGAGGGGGAACCTACAGGGCTAGTGGGAGTAAAGAAGGGAAAAAAGACTGCCAGTGAAGCGAACAGACAAAACTCTTAGTCAAGACAGCAAAAAGATCCGTTAAATGAAAGGCTGTCATTTTTACAGTTACTTCGCAGAGGAAAACAAAATTTAATACAAGCCTTTAAAATTAAAACCACTGAAACAAAAGTGCTTGTAATTCCTTGCTTGAGAATACCTACACTATCTCATGTTGAAAGTTCTGGGGGGAAATAGGTCTCATAAAACACCCTTTTGCTTCAGCAATGATTATAACTATCAGCATCTTTACAATATTTGAAAAATGCTCCAATAAATACATGACAGAGTGAAACAGAAAATAAAAGTAACGTCTTGGCTGGTGGTTTTATAGAAAATGTTCAGGTCTATAAAAATCTCTGTTGTAAAAGCATCAAAGCCAGAAGCATCTACAAAACATTAGGAGTAGATGGAAATAACAATCAACCTAAATATTTCATTACATAACATAAATCAAATACAAACGTAAGACTGCTTTGAATGCAGAAATACAATAACACTTTTCTGACCTATACCAGTTCAGACAACATTTGTGTCACCACAAACTCTGCTGACTAGTATCGCCTTTTGCAGTCTTGAAGATGCATTTCCACTGGATGGGAAGCAAAGTGTTTTGCTGACCGAAACATTGTGCTCTGAATGAACTATAACCTTATAGAAAGTTTTGCACATAAACCCCCACCTTTTTAGCTTCTGCATAATGAGCTCCTGACATGACTCTATGTAGGTGTTTTACTCCCTTTGTATTAAAACTGTCAGGAGGAATCAGTGGTAGTTTAGGTATAACATGAGCCTTATATACCTCTCTGCAGAAATAAGATAAAATA